GCACCTTTGCAAGCAATAAATTAAGCTTTTTGTTCAAGACCCTAATATATCAGTCAACTTACTGATGTCACATGTTCACTTTCCTACAAGAAAATGCAATTTCTCGTCTCTGTTTTGATTCTATCAGTTTGATCAGTCAACTGATCATGACTGTTTTAAAGAATCTATCACTGCCCGTAAAAGGACTCAACATGAATATGTCGTCATTTTATTGCAAAGAATAACCAAAACGATACGTCTTTCTCGTCCAAGCGAGGATTGAAATGGAACAGAATAATGCCGTTAAGATCATGCAAGCTAATTTCGAAACGCCACTTTTTCGGCCTACCGTAAACGATGAAATGATTTCCTGAACGATTATGATCACTTGCTGTCCGCGTTCTCAAATGTCTAACATTATATGATTGATAAGTCTTTCTTTACATGCCAGTAAAATAATTCACTAGAGTTTAAAAATGTTCAATGAACGAATCCCTGACCACAAAATCTGTACAATCAAAATAAACGAGCAAAAAAAGCACCAATAAATCGCTCACCAGTCATCCAATGACCACCTTTGAACTTATATTGGAACGGTAGAGTTACTTGCGAATAACCACTCCAGTACGTATTCTCCACTTTAACATCACCCTGCACAGTCATATACTCGATTGGACTGAGTGGATAATGCACCATGAATTCATAAATCTTTTTGTGATTCACTAATATAATGAGTCTATCCAATTCCGTTCGAATGGCGAGATGGAATCGCCGAGCCCTTCGGAATTCGTTCGATATTCTGTCTTCTGCGCTCCATTCTCGAGTCTATAAACGAACCATTTCCTTAGCACAATATCAGCACACATCCCATTCAAGCATTCTTTCAGTTGCTTATCCTCTCTATTATGTTCAGCGATAAGATTTTCCGAGCGCTTTTCAGGCCAACCAAACGGATCGCTCCGCAATACCGAACTGTTTGATTGCGTTTTAATGTGACCGTTGAATTCAATAAAATTGAATTCTTTGAAGGTCACAAAATTTGCAGTTTCGGCCTAGAAAATGAATGATGCGACGTGGTGAAATCATCCGATTACGAACCGATTTCATCGCATTCATGAAAATCAGGTCTTCGTCAAACCGAACAACTAAATGAAGCACCGCTTCAGCTTCTGGCTCTCGTATGGTTGGTGCACCACGCAGAAGATCTATAGAGAATCTGCAATCGTTTCTATCATCCGTGCCGTTGTATAACAAAGATGGACCAGAAAGTGAATCGCTCTTCCCTATGAAACGGTGTCATTCGACTGAAGATAAATTTCGACTCGAAACAATAATACTGATTATTCACCGCAACATGTTTGTTAATGTTGAAGTTTTAAGAAATGTTATTTTACGAGTGAGCGGATGAGTGCGCAGATGCACGAGATCAATTGAACAAAACCATGCAACATCGCCAGAGCAAACCAAACCTTTTCGCATCTTTCAATACACGTCCGTAAAGCAAAGCCATCTGCCCAGCTTTCAAAGGCTCAACGAATTGTGTGACGTACGCATCACCTATGTACGTCTTCAAAAGTTTCAGTCATTTACGATATGTTTGGGATATCACAGTCGGAAATTTTAAATTGCAAAATTACAATTATCTGGTTATCACCTTTTCGGATACCTCCACAGCAGAAATATACAGCTTATCGAAGGTTATGTGGGAAACTTCAACAGAATTAGGAAATGTTTCAAGGAAACACCAAGTATCGGGAGGAAACAAATACCCGATTGTCGTACATGTTCACACGAATGAGACCAATGATGGCGGCATCAGTGACAAGAGAGATGCACAAACTCATAACGATTTGAGCGATCATCTTGTCACGCAAACGGTGCGAGAAAATCAGACGACAATCCACACACTGTTTTCAGCTTATTATATAGAAAATCTATATACTAATTCATGTTATCATCCATATGTAAATTGACAATCTGCATACCATGTAAATTTAATGGGATGGATGTAATTTTGGAATCGTTTGAAGACGAGAGAATGGCTGCTGATATTTGTTCATTTAGATTTCATGCGAGAAAATTCCATTCATTATCGATATTAAAGATGAGGAGTTGCATCATTGCGTTAATTATCCATTCCATGAATAAGAAAGAAGAAATCAGCTGAACTCTTTGACAGTTTATTCACGTCTCAGGCCTAAGCTTTATCGCCATTTCGATAAGTTCGATGTTATATTATGGCCGTTTATGAGTATTATCGTAAGAAATATTTATTCGTTCGAAGCTCAACAGGATAAGTGAAATATAAAAGAATGCATATCGAGTTAGGATTTACTGCATGTAGAACGAACATAAACTGGTACAGAATTAATGGAATCATATGACCGGGAATGGCAGTGAAGACTACGCTGCGTCAACTTCGACTGCGTCTAGCTGGAGAGCGCCAGCAATAGTGAGTATCCCGTAATCATACACTGGACTGTGCGTTCGATGCTTGAATGTGCAAATAAGTTCTCCATCGTAGAATACCTGTTACAATTAATATTATAATTTCATATGCCTTCCTCCTCCGATGATGAAATCGAATAATTTATTGTAGGAAGAACCGCCAGAAACTACCGAAACTAATAACGTTGTTATGAAAAGGTAATCGCTCATTTCCAAAATTGTGAGCATAATTTGAGGAAAGAAAACGAAGTGACCTGGATAGAGCAATCTGTAAGGTAGAACTGAAGATCGAAGAAAGTGTCCCGCTTGAATGGGAATGGTCCTCCACGCTCCTCTCTTCCCCATTCAGGACCAATTTGTGCATTTCGCACAATCTAAATTTCTCATTATTCCAGTCAAGTAACACCGTTTTCATCAGCAAATCAAATGAGGACTGAAAAACGCAATAAGCTCAATTTAGTCCGCACCAATAATTCGATAAGGCACATTTGCAAGCAATAAATTAAGCTTTTCGTTCAAATTCCCAATATATCAGTCAACTTACTGATGTTACATGTTCAGTTTCCAACTAGAAAACGCAGTTTCTCGTCTCAACTGATCATATCTGTTTTGAAGATTCTACCACTGCTATTAAAAAAAACTTAACATGAATATGTTGTCATTTTATTGCAAACAATAATCAAAACGATACGTCTTTCTCATCCAAGCGAGGATTGAAATGGAACAGAATAACGCCGTTAAGATCGCGCAAGTTAATCTCGAAACGCCACTTCTTCGGCCTACCGTAAACGATGAAACGTTGTCCTGAACGATTATGATCACCTGCTGTCCATAATGATAAATACGTTCTCAAATATCTAACATTATATGATCGATAAGCCTTTCTTTATACGCCAGTAAAATAATTCACTGGAGTTTAAAAACGTTCTACGAACGATTTCCTGACCACAAAATCCTCCAACATCACTAAACGAACAAAAGAACATCACTAAATCGCTCACCATTTATCCAGCGACCACGTCGGAACTTGTGTTGGAATGGTAGAGTTACTGGCGAATAACCACTACAGTACGTACCCTCCACCGTAACGTCACCCTGTACAGTCATATACTCGATTGGACTGAGTGGATAATGCACTATGAATTCATAAATCTTTTCGTGATTCGCCCATATGATTAATTTATCCAATTCCGTTCGAATAGTGAGATGGAATCGCCGACCCATTTCGAATCGATTCGATATTCTTTCTTCTCCGCCCCATTTTCGAGTCTATAAACGAACCATTTCGTTAGCACAATATCAGCACACATCCTGTTCAAGCACCTATATTCAAGCATTCTTTCAGTTGCTTATCCTCTCTATTATGTTCAGCAATAAGATTTTTCTAGCGCTTTTCAGGCCAACCAAACGGATCGTTCCACAATACCGAACTGCTTGATTGCGTTTTAATGTGACCGCTGAATTCAACAAAATTGAATTTTCTTAAAGGCCACACAATTTGCAGTTTCGGCCTAGAAAATAAACGATGCGACGTGGTGAAATCGTCCAATTGACGAACCGACTTCGTCGCTTTCATGACAATTTGGGCTTCATCAAACCGAACATCGAAATGAAGCACCGCTTCAGCATCTGGTTCTCGCATGAGTGCTGCACCACGCATAAGATCCACAGAGAATCTGCAATCGTTTGTTTGATCACTGCTGCTATAAAAATGGATCAAACAGTATCGCGAAAAAACGAATAAACTTCGAAACAGTAATACTGATGATTCGCATTATCATGCTTGTTAATGATGAATTAATGACGAATTCTCACGAATTGTTAAATTTTACGAGTGAGCTGAATAGTACACAGATGCACAAGATGAATTGAACAAAACCATGCAACATCGCCAGAGCAAACAAAACCTTTTCGCATTTTTCCATATACGTCCGTAAACCAAAGTCATCTGCCCAGCTTTCAAAGGCTCGACGAATTTTGTGACGTACGCATCACCTATGTGCGTCTTCAAAAGTTTCAGTCATTAACAATATGTTTGGGATATCAATATCAGAAATTTTAAACTGCTAAATTACAGTTGTCTCCTTATCACCCTTCCGGATACCTCAACAGCAAGTTTACCGAAGGTTATATGAGAAACTTCAGCAGAATTAGGAAATGTTTGAAGGAAACACCCAGTATCGGGAGAAAACAATTACCAGATTGTCGTACAACGGTACAGGAATGAGACCGATAATGGCGGCATTGGTGACAAGAGAGATGCACAAACTCATAACGATTTCGACGATCATCTTGTCACGCAAATGATACCAGAAAATCAGACGACAATCCACACACTGTTTTCAGGCTATTACATAGAAAATTTATTTACTAATTCATGTTATCATCCATATGTAAATTGACAATCTGCATACCGTGTAAATTTGTTGTGATAGATGCCACTTTGATGTCGTTTAAAGATAAGAAAATGCTGTTGATATTTATTAATTTAAATTCCATTTGAGTTATTTCATAGTATGATTTATGACTGTTGACGTTTGTTTGCAGAACAACACGATAAGCGAGGGAGTTCATGAAATTTTGCGGCCCTACCTCTTACGAGTAGCAGCATATTTACCGGTCTCGGCCTCGCTGAAAACAAAATCTCTCATTGCCCCAACAAATGGCTTTAATTGCCGATTCATCAACACTGGTATTACTATTTTGTCAGAAGGAGCAATGCAGAATATTTAAGGTCATCATAAGATATGCCTACAGTAATCTTGATAATAGCGCTCATGCTGATTGGTCATTGTGGAGTGTGTACGGTCACTTTGTATTGTATGGAAGTTAGCGATTGTGGCCGTGTGGGCCTGGATGCGAAATAATTCCAGTTTTGACTTTGCTAGTGATTCCAGTGCGGTGCTGTGAAGGGTGTAAATGATTGTGAAAACCCGAGAATTCCTTTTTTGAACCTACTGAGATTATGGAAACACCGTTGCGAGCAATTCCTATTTACAATAACTCCACTACACGCTCAACAGCGGATGTAAACGAACGAAATATCGTTTTGACCAGTAATGATTAATAAACACTTAAAATAAACATAGCAAAAAGCGGAAACGAATGACAGATAGCAAGTGTGATGGCAATTTTCAGTGGTTCCGTGCTACAAGCTTTAGCGACATTTTGATGTTTCAGTAGAGCCGTTGATAAGCTTTATTGTAAGAAACGTTTATTCCTTCAAAACTCAAAATGAGCAAAAATTTAAAAGAATATATGATGAGGATTGACTGATTGACTGCATATAGAAAGAAGATAAACTGCTGCAGAATTAATGGATTTAGATAATTGGGAACGGCAACGAAGATCATTCGTATATTTCGATTGCGTTTATCTCGATATCGCCAGTGATACCAATTGATGCGTAATGGTAGCCTGGCTTCCACGTTCGATGTTTGAATACGCAAATACGTTTCGCATTGTAGAATATCTGTTACAACCAATGGTCTAAGTTCATGTACATTTCTCATCTGATGTTCGAATCGAATTATTTATTGCCGGAGGAACTGTCAGAAATTAGCGAATTTAATAACGTTGTTACGAATAAATAAGGTTGTCGTTCATTTTAGAATTTTTGGGCATAACCCGAGGAACAAATAAGAATATACCTCAATATTGTTGTCAATGTAGATGCCAAGATCGAAGAAGGTGTCCTCCTCGAATGGGAACGGTCCATCATGCTCCTCTATTCCCCAGCGACCATCTATTAGCGCATTTCGCACAATCTGAATTTTTTATTATTCAGGTTAAATAATGCGGTTTTCATCAAAAACACGGATGAGGAATGCAATCGTAATCAATTCAATTTAGTTGGCACCAACACTTCTGCGATTCTTGTGAGTAATAAATTGAGCTTTTTACTCAAAAACTCGCCAAAACATATCACTCAACGTACTGATGTCACACTTTTGTTTTTCTAATAGAAAACGTGATTCCCCGTCTCAATTAATGAAGCTTATCGTAAAGGATTATTGCAAAAAATCCTTTCACCATCTCTAGTGGTAAAAGAATTCAAAATGAATATGTCATTTCATTGCAAACAATCGTCAAAACGATACCTTTTCCTTGTCGAAGTCAACTTTGAAATTAAACAGAATATCGCCGTTGCCTCGTAGTAAGTCAATTTGGAAATTCCTCCCTTTCGGCCTACCATAAATGAACAAGATTTCTCCTGAACGGTTATGATCACCTGCTATCCGAAATGGCAAATATGTTCTGATCAACTAACATCATATGATCAATAATTCTTTCTTTACACGATTATCCTAATCATGATTCCCTTGAGCAGATAAATTCATGGAAGATTTTTGTGTGAATCAATGTTCAGGTTGTATTCTTCATGTTTAATCACTTCACAATCAGTGCCTAAGAACTGGAAGTCGTAGGAAGTGTTTTTGCTACTGCTGCTTTGTTCAGTTCCGAGATTAATATTCAGTTGTAAACTGTTCTCCGAAGTTGATGACTTGTTCGCGTCGAAGATTTGATTCATTCGAACCAGCAGCAAATTGCAATTGCCATTCCAAAACCTATTGTGCATTGTTGATGGAATCCACAGCAATCATGAGAATCATTATCCAGTGTAATCGCTTCTTCAGTGAAATAATACACTATGGTTTCAAAATGTTAAATGGTTCGTGCAATACTAACAAACACTAAACCACTCACCAGCTTCGAAATGACCACCTGGGAAGTCATATTTGACTGGGTACGCTTTCAGCCCACAGTCCAGCACGCGAGCACTCCAGCACGCTCTGTCCAAATCGATGTCACCAGTCACAGTTATGTATTTGACTGCACTTATTGGAAAACGCATATTGTATTGATAAATCTTTTTGTGGTTCGCCAATATGTCGAAATGTTCCCAATTCACTCGAATAATCAGATGGAGTTGCCCATGTAGTGCGAATGGATTCCGTACTCTCTCTTCTGGGCCCCATTTCGGAGGCTATAAACGATTTATTTCGCTAGTACAATATTAGCACACACCTATTCAAGCAACTGTATTTCATCGCTCTCTCAGTTGCTCTTCATCTTTATTATATTGAGCATTAAGCTTCTTCGAGCGTTTTTTGAACCTACCCAACGGAACGCTCAGCAATACCGAACTGATTGATCGTGCTCAAATGTGATCGTTCAATTCAATACAATTGAATCTTTTAAAGTTTAAACACTGTGCAATTTCTGTCTGCTGCTAAATAAACGGTGCGTCGTGGTGACACCATCAAACTGAAGAACCTGTATCATCGTATTCATAACGATTTGTTGCTCATCGAATCGAACATCTAAATGAAACACTGGTAGTGCACCTGGTTCTCCTATGCGTTCTGCGCCATACATAAGATTCACGCTGAATCTGCAATCGCTAGTGTGTCATCACTGTAGTTGCATAACAAAAATGGAACCAGCAGTGAATCGCTGTTCGCTGTTATCATTTCGAGACGCTCTCATCCAACTGAAGATAAATTCCGACTCGAGACAATCATGATTGTTCATGTCAATATGTTTGTTAATGACAAATTTCTAAATTTTACGAGCGAGCCGTAGAGCGCTCAGATGCATGAGATGAACTGATTAAAACAAAAGCAACTTTGCTAGAGCACACAAAACCTTTTCGCATTGGGGATCATATATCCATAAACCATAATTAGATGCCCAGGCTCCAAAGGATAGGAAAGTTTTTCGGTGTATACATCATTTTTGCGTTTCTTCAACAGTTTCAATTTTTAGCAATCAATATATCAAATCATTCGTTGGGTTATCATTGTCAGAATTTTTTGACTGATCTATTCAATTTGTTTGTTTATGACTCTTACGGATAACTCCACAGCGGCAGCATACAGCGTAGCGAAAGTGATGTGAAAAACTTCAGCAGAATTAGGAAATGTTCGAAGGATACACCAAATGTTGGAGAAAACCAAGTACCAAATTTGTATACCAAATAGTATGGCAAATTAATTGTGTTGACGACTCCGGCATCTGTGACAACAGAGAAACATAAACTCATAATGAGTCCGACGATCATCTTATCACACAAGTTATACGATTAAGATCACACGATGGCAAATTGCTGGGACAATCGCAATGTTTCCAGCTTGGTTAATTTTCTGTTATATAGAAAATTTATATGCTAACTAATATTGTTTTCCATATGTAAATTGACAATTTACATATGGAAAATTATGCAAAGTATTCACAGTAACTAATTAATTCCTCGGTTGTGTTCACTTGGCCTGCTCGCCTAGCCAGCGAGGTGGCGTAAATTGAGGCTAAAACAATGTGCACGGAAACGCGAGCATTGCGGCCAGCAACGTTACAAGCGTTTGATAGCCTGGCCAATCCAGGTAATCCAGGTAAAATTGATAATTTGCATGCAGTGTAAATTTATTGTGATAGATGCAACGTTAGCCAAATGATCCACCATTTGATCTGCCATTGACTTCAACTTTTCTCTTATTTGCTGTGGAGATCCTTCGGACGATATTCTCGATTGCTCAATTACAGTGATCTTTTGATTCACTAGTCGTGTTTACTTTTGATATTCACTACACAACTGATTCACTAGTCGTCATTGTTTCATGAAGAACGTTGATCAACAATGATCAATACATCACCATTTACTTGCGTGCGTTGATTAGTCGGCATTTTCAACGTTGTGGTATGTTCGATGCGGTTCTATATTGTGCTGTGAATACGATTGCAATGTGGTTAATTTATGATAGTGTTTGATGGGTTATTGGCATTGAATTTATTGAGTTAGGTGCTGTTTAGGATGATATTCAGTTTGCCTTTTGCTTCAACCGATTCACTAGTGATACTAACAGGTTGA